CCCGAACCACAGCCGCGCGTCGAGGCCATGGAGATCTTCGCCGGGTCCGGGTCCATGTCGCGCGCGCTGCGGGACGGCGGCGTCTCCATCGTCGCCACCTGCGAGAACGACCCGCGCAAGGCGGGCGCCCTCGCGAACAACCTTCCCGACGTCCACAACTACGGCGACATCCACGACGACTCCATCGTGGGCCACGTCTGGAACCCGCGGAGCGTCAGCGCCATCGCCGCCGGCGTCGAATGCCAGGACTACAGCAAGGCCGGCGCCCGGCGCGGCCTCGGAGGGCCCAAACGCCGCACGCTCGAACGCTTCGCGCACGTCGTGCGCTGCATCGGCCCGCACCTGCTGCTCGTCGAGAACGTGTGGCCGTTCGTCGTCATGCTCGGCCTGGCCTACCTCGTGTCGCTCCTCTCCGCCCCCAGGCGGAATGGCGAGTCGCGGTACATCCTGCGGCTCCCCACCGGCGTCGAGGAGGCGGAGCTCAGCAAGAGCTCGCTGCACGGCCCGGTCTACCGCGACCGCATGCTCGCGTACTTCGAGCGCGACGACGTCTCACCGCTGCTGCCGCCCCCCGCGCCGCTCATCGCGCCCAAGATCGCGGAGCGACGGACGCTCGTCTCGTGCCTGCGGGCCGCAGACGAGGTCCCCGACGACGCGTTCTGGGAAGGACGCTTCGAGCGCCTCTCCACGCCGCGCCGCGCCTACAGCGGGCGCGAGGACAGCCCGCTGGTCGTCGCTCGCCTCCACTACGACCCGGAGTCGGCCGTGCGCGAGGGGTCCGTCGTCAGACTCCGCGGCGACGGCCGGCGCTGGGTCGTGCTCACCGCCGACGTGACACTGCACGTCATCGCCTACGACCGGCGCCACCCGACGCAACGCCGCGGCGTGCCCCGCGAGCGCGTCTCCGAGCACGTCCACTACGCCTACGACGTCTTCGACACGACCAAGCTCCTGTCGCCGCGCAAGGACGGCCAGCCGCCGTACGGAGGCACCATGCTCCTCGAGCGGCCGTCCCACCCGGGACGCGCGTCCCGCGTGCTCCCCGACGAGGCGGCCCGCGCCATGGGCATCGACATCACGGGCATCGCCGAGCACGACGTCCAGTACGTCGTCGGCGACGGCGTCACGGACGTCTACAAGATGCAGGCCGCGGCCCGCATCATGGAGCGCGCGACGATGCTACACAAGGTCCTCCACGAACGGTCCCACGCGGCGTCGGTCGCCGCGCCGCTCCTGGCGGCCCCCGCGTCCCCGCCGCTGCGGCACCCCACGGCCGGGCCAAACGCGCCGCCGCTGATGGCGCGCGGCCTCGGCCGGGACGCGAACGTCGTCCACGCTGCGATTGGGCACCCGGCCCAGGACCGCTTCCGCGACACGGTCAAGGGGCTGCGCGTCAAAGTCGACGGTACCGTCGACTGCGCCGTCTGCAAGATCTCTCGCATGGTCAAGAGCGGGTCCGCGCGCAAGTCGCGGACCCAGAACCCGCCGGCGGTTCGGCGGCCACCGCCGCCGCCTCATCCGCCCCCGGCACCTCCGGGCGGCCAGCCCGCGAAGCAGCGGCCGCCGACGCTGCGCCTCGACCTCTTCGGAGCCCACAGCGACATCCCGTCGCGCACGCGGTCCCAGTACTTTCTCACGGCCACGCTCAACACGAACCCGCCCCACCGCGTCGGCGTCGGCCTCCGCCTCAAGAGCGAGGCCGTCGGCGAGCCCGGCGGCTTCTCCGGCCTCCGCATGATCTACAACGCGTACGCCGCGAAGGGCATCCGCGTGCGCATCGTCGAGCACGACGACGGCGGCGAGTTCGTGAGCAACAAGGCCAGCGCGCTCTACGCGCAGCTCGGCGTCGCGAGCCGGCCCAGACCCTCGGAGCGCCACTGCGAGGCCGCGGAGCGCACAAACCGGGCCGTCTACGGCCTCACACGGGCAATGATGCACGCGGGCTCCGTCCCGGACAACCTCTGGGAGGACGCCGCGTGCCACGCCGTCGATTGTTTGAATCTGCACTTTCACGGCGACATCAACGCCCACTACGCGGCCTTCCAGGAGGACGTCGACCTGTCGACGTTCTACCCCTTCTACGCGCACGTCGCGTTCTTCGACATGCACCGGTCCGAGCGCTTCCGCACTTCCGGAGCCCTCGGCCGGTACCTCGGCGCGGCACGAAACTACGGCTTCGGCGCCATCCGCGTCCAGGTCGGACGTCACGTCCGAATCGTGTCGAGCCACCACTACGTGGCCGCGCCCGACGTCGAGCTCGACGTCGCCCGCATGGCGCCCATGATTCCGCCGCCGCTCCCGCCGACCCACGCGGCGCCGCACTTCAGCTACCTGCCGCTGGACACCCTGCCGAACTCGCAGCCCGACACGGACGGCGGCGACCACACGGCGCCCGCGGCCGACGGAGCCGCGGCTCC